AAAATAGCTCTTGAGTTCCTTGTGGTCTTTCTGTTTTTAGTATAGACCTTATGAACTGAGACCTAATTTTATACAGTATGATTAAATCATTAAGGTCTATAAGAGTATGCCACAGCCTTAAGGCATATATTATGTTTCCAATAATTTCTCTAGCAAATTTGAGCTTGTCTGCTTGTACTCCTGGCTGCACTGTGTTTGTGGATTCTCTCCACCTTCTCACGTCTCACTTTGGTTCTTGTGCTTTTTCTTTTTAGTTTAGTATTTTAGTTTAACTTCAAACTTTTTTTGAAGGTTTCTGACTTTAATTTCACGCTAATACTGAGCACCGCCTTTCCTGAAAAGAACTAGGAGCACTTGAGAAAAATTAGCTGGTATCTTTGCCAAACTCTTGTGAAGTAGGAGATGGTATGCAAATAGAGCAGTGGGCGCCACATTTTTTGGCAGGCATGCCACAAATTAGCACCGCATCCTTTTTAATTGCTACTTCCATCCCTTTCCTTTGCCCAGTCTGCTTCTCTGCTTTCTGCTCCCTGCCCAATCTGTTGCCCTTTTTTCTTCCTCCTGCCCTATGTGCTTCTGTGCTGCCTGTTTCATTCCCCAACCTGCTACATGTCACACACACAGGCTGCCTGTGCTGCTTGTGGCGCCATGCTGCAGGTTGGCCACCCTTGGAGTAGGAAATAAAATGAGACATAGGTTAGGATTTGGTCTGAAGTCGCACCATGATTTGGAAAAAGCAGAGGGTTGAACCCAAATCTCCAGGGTCCCAATCTAAAGTGTTTACTAAAAGAACTCAGAATGGCCAGTGGTAATAAAGACTCTTCCCAAGTGCAGTTCTGTTGTAGAAACTTCTTGTTGAAAATCGGTTGGCCTTCAAAGGTACAACAAGAAGGCACAGCAGGTCTGTCTTACAAAACTAATCAATGCAAAGTGTACATTATGCTCCTTATGGAACATCTACTGCAAGAAGTTTGATTGGGGTAGCAGAGCCATCTATCAAGATGCTTATGGGAACGGCAGGGCTAGGTTTGCACAGGCCATCAATGTAAGTTCATGCTTCTGAATCAAAATGCAAAATGATGAACAGAATTTTAAGGGGTGGCCAAATTGCAGTGGATGTTAAAATGAAATGCATAACTGGAAAACAACGTTTTTAGGACTCCTAGATTTAGATATAGTTTTTTAAATGACTGTTTTTGAACCAAAAAAACAAAAGGCTTGAGGGAGGAAGGTATATGGTATATGTTGGGGGCAGGGGTGTTTTTGTGTTAAATCATTTGTTGACTTGGAATTTGATGTACTTAAGTAAGAGCAGAACAGTGAACTGGAACTCTCTTAATGGTTAGCTGGAAACATGTGATGCAAGACGTGCACATCTGAGTCGTGTTTCATGTTCTAGCATCGGATTCACACACTTAGCTCCCTTTGTCTTCAAAATTATTTCCCTAGCTAAAATTTTCTAACAGTTTTTTTTTTTTTTTTTTAATAACTAAAACTGAAACACATTGCAAATTGCCTGACTTGAAATACCATATATTAACTTGACTTCAACAGGTGTACCAAGATGTTCATGCCCTATTGAAATGGGTTTATATATTTTCACTAGCTTTGGTCACATGGAACCATTGTGCATTTCAGTTGAATCCAATAAATAACTTGTATCATGCTCCAGTTAATTTCAGGATATTAAAAAGAAAAAAGCACACTAGGATAATTTGATACTGGTCCACAGGGCTGATGTACAAATATCATAGTGGTGATTATATGCTTGGTCTCTGAAAATCCACATTAGATTTTGGCTACTTGTTTGAGTTTGAGATCAATAAAGGATAGAATTGTGTTTAAATTAAAGCACTGAAGTATTCCAAGCTGTCTTAATGACGTATCGGGTCCAAATAGCAAAAACCTTCACTTATGGTTATAAGACTGTATGTACCAGGAACCGAAATCTTGCAAAAATTGAGGGATTTAGGATTTTTGTTGTACCTAAACTAGAGAAGACTCATCTCTGGTTTTAGGTCAGGTCTGAAACTAAAACTAATCAGGTTTCTGCTCTGATTGTTTTTAAAAAGATGTTCAAGTTGCATTTTGAATGTGGGACCACTCTGTTTTATAAAGTTCAGTTTTGAAGAAAAAGCTTTGCTATATAGATTAAGTGTTTCATCCAAAATCCTGTGGCAATTAATTTACTAAATTGGACACATGCTGTTTCAATGACAGGGCCATTCCTATATGTGCTAAACAAGGCAGACAATTCAGAAAAATTAAAAATACACTGCTTCCCGTCTGATAAATAGTAACATTCTTCAGCTATAGTTTTGTGGCTCTGGCATGCAACCCTTTCTTTGCATTTGGAAATACCAAATTGTTTCCAACTAGAGCCTCGTAGTTAAAGTCTATTCTAATTGGTGTTAATGAATGTCACACATACCAACACAGAATGTAGCATTTGGAAACTAATGTTGATCTATAAAGCCCTGTAATCTCTATGGTGATTGCTAGAACTGAATCCCACATAGTAAAATAACAGTTGCAGAGTCCAAAGAAGTAGACAAAAAAACCTACACAAACCTAAGTTCTAGTTTGCTGTGTTGTGTTTTCAGGAGGAACAAAATCTGTTACAGAAACAGTGAATCTTGCCTTTGCTGTCTGGCACTGCCATACGAAGGGTTGGTGGCAGGAATCAAGTTTACTGATCCTAGGGTCATGAAATAGATCCCAGTTGCAGAAACTGTCCTGGGTTGATTTCCTAAGTGAATGTATAAAACATACACATTTAGTTTTATATAGGTATTGGTTCTCAGCGGACGCTACAATGCCATGACACCAGCAGTCTGCTTCTGCAGCTTTTATCTTTACTGGTCATAGGGGAACATCTTCTGCCCACAGCATGGAAACAGGCTCTTTTTTTTTTTTAAACTGCTTGCAACATTGACATTTTAAAATTGGAAATAATTGTTCAAGTAGCATGATCAGAGCTGCTTGGGTCCTTGCAGTTCTACTTACTCATGCTGTTTCTTAATTACTCCCAGCTTGATTTTTTTTTTTTTTATGTTCTTGGATAATGCAGAGCTCTCCCTGAATTAAATATGGAACTAAAGAACTGAGACTGCCAGTCAAACATTGCTCTCCTGCATGTAAAGTGGGTAGAATAGGTAAAACCACTGTGTTGACCCAAATCTCTGGAAAGTTCAACTGTTAATCTACAAATCAATTGTGTGTAGCAGACTGCTGACTAGTGCAAAGCAAATGTCGTATGCTAGTATAGTTAGCTCAAATGTTAACTCAGCAGCTTTTAATTAGACATCACTCTAACAAAAGTTGGGTGTGCAAAAATGCAAGATCAGCAGTCCCTTTGAATGCTAGGGGAGTTCCCCCTGTACAGAGAATGCAGAACTGAACCCAAGCACCCTTCTAGTGAAAACTAGGTGTAATGGGATTAGTATTTATGCCTGTGGACACTATTGCATATATCTGGAAAGACAGATTCCAAGTGGAATAAAATGAAAATAATTTAAGTGCATATAATCTTCAGTGAACTTCAGAAGTCATTCTTTACAGCTATTGTTAAAAGTTAGTATTTGTCCATATTTTAAAAAAATTAGTATTTCTCCATATACTTAAAATGACAAAACTTTCTCTGTGTCTTGCCATTAGTAACTTGCGGCATTAGGTTTGTAATTTTATAAATATAATTTATTCTTCACTGTTTTTCTGTTTGCAACTTGAGTGAAATGCACAGTTAAATTAGACTTGTTTTCCTTTGGCAGTTGTTATGCTCCTGTTCTGTTTCAGAGCACAGCAGTACAGAGAAAACATGTTCGTTGAACTATAACATGAAAGCATTTTAACGCTTAAGTTCTGTAAAGACAGTTTGCTTTGCTTTACAAAATGTAGGGTTTGTTAACAGGGCTCTGTGAGACACTGCAATGGTAGCAGAAATGGTATAAAACAAACACCTAGAAGTTAAAGTAATTAAGGATATATTTTAAAAGACAAATAGCTACTGACAATCTCCATGCTGTTTTTATGAGAGCCATGTCATGATTTAACTATGGGCATATTTCCTTGACACATTGATAAAACTGAAATCTTTTGACAATAGGTAGCAATAAAGATAATATCTCAGACCAATATAAATAAGTAAAAGGAAAAACAATCCAAATACAGCTGTGAAGTAAACATAAACTTATTTGGAGTTTTTCTGTGCAGTTGCTCTCAGTTACAAACATTAAATTAGTATGTTTATAATTATTTAATGGGCAGACATGGTTACTAATATGTGTTCCACTGTTTCAGAAGTAGATGTAGCCAGAAGATTAACTAATCATTTCAAAGAAGGCAAGGTCCTTTGAGTAGATGTGATATCTTTTATTATTATTTCCATCTGTGTAGTTGGAAAAAAGGCCTTAACAAGCTTTGGGGCACAATCACCCTTCTTCAGGCATAGGAAGTGTCTGCTGTTCTGAGACTCCAAGGAATCATATCAAAGAAGGCACTGGAACCTTGGTTGCTTGATTTGTTAAGGTTTCTTTGTTTAGAAATCTTATTAAGTATGCCTTTTTAGAAGCTATCCAGTATTCTTTAAACAGTTCTGTTTGAATGTATTGTGCACTTTTCATTGTTCTGTATTCTACCTGCATGTGCCCATGTCTTTTTCTCTCCCCCCCACCCTCCTTTGGAGGGCATCTGAACACTCAAATATGTAATTGCTTCCCCCTAGTGGCTGGTCTGCAAAGGGTTTATAAGTCTTATTTTCTCCAGACCACTTCATGAAGGTTCTTCATTCTGTATTTCAAAGGGCAAAAGCTTTTGGAGGCAGTTGCCTTTTTGGTGGTTGGTGCTGTTCTAATATTGGCATTGGTGCAGATATTACCTGCTGCCATGCAGGTAACAGTTGTGAGCCCCTGTTCTCAGTCAGAGTGTAATTGCTTTTGCCTTTTTGTAGTGGAATTTGAAATGCATTGTTGGTGTGTTTGTTTTCTTGTAATCCCATACAGAGTCAAATGGAGTTCAGTGTTGCATCTTTATCCCTACAAGAACAAGGTGGTGTCCCATCACAAAATGAACAGAGACAACCAGTCAAAGCCACACCTGGTGTCCAGGCACCCAAATCTTCTCAGGGTAATAAGATGCCTAGCTCTGATGGGTTAATACCATCCAGGAAAGAAGAGGAGTCCTCTTTCTGGAAGATAAATGCAGAGCGTTCAAAGTTTGAAGGAGGCCAATCAGAATTCCAGTCCTTGACCCCTAGCCAGATTAAATCGATGGAGAAAGGAGAGAAAGCCCTTACATCTTTTTATAGGCAAGAGTCTACTCCAAAAGAGACGACCAAAGGTGAGAAACCCAGCATAGGTAAACCAGAAACGTTCGTCACTCCAAGCCTCTCTTCTCTATCTACGGAGTGGGAGAAACCTCAACCCAGTCAGCCTACAGCTAACACGCTAGATGACCTCCTTCCTGAACCACCCCAGGAACTGCCATCTTCAGGGACAAAAACTGAAGAGGCTGAGGGCCCTATGCTTTCAGACCCAGTTGGACAGGTAAGGGCTGGTATTTATTCTATTATCTTCAATTTTTAAAGAGTGTGCATCTCACTGAAGTCTTAACAAGGTCACCCAGGAAGATTAGGGATTCAGTAGAGCACTAAACCCTAACAAAGCTTGTTGGGATTTTGTTTATCCTGTAGATGAAAAACATCTGTTCAGCCAACATGTTAAACTAACTCATTTCCCATATCTCTAATAGGTATTTTTAAAGTAGCCATACTCAGTATCTAATATTTACAGACAGGAAACCCTTGCTATTCGCAAACTCCGGGTTTGCGGATTCAGATATTCGCAGGGGAGGGCAGAGCCGGGAGGTGGGTGGAGAACAAGTGCCATGGATGTGGAAGGAAGCAGCAGCGGCATCTTCTCCTCCGGAGGCAGCCACAGCAGTGCTGGGGGGGAAGGGGTCAGTCCCCAGGTGCTGCAGGGGAGCCCCAGGGACGGGGAGGGAGGCAGTGGCGGTGGCAGCAGTGGTGCTTAGAGTATTCCCTGCAAAGGGTGAGGGTCTCCTGTAATGCCTCGTATTCAGTAGCATTCACAGAGCATTCATCACGGTTTGGTAACTTCCTCCGGACTAGAATGTAGCAGTTGTTTGCCACCACAGTCAAGGATAGGACGGGAAAGAGAATACCATAGCCTAGTGAAACTAATGAACATCTAGGGTTATTTTGCACTTAGAGTGAAAAATCACAGACCCCTTTTGATGCTGTTAAATTTTAAGACTTTTCCAAGTGAAACTACAAATTTAGGGCATACAGTAGGGAAGGGCTCTAAGGACAGCATGGATGAGAGATGAATTGTGACAAATGAGAGGAAGCTAGATCATTTTTCCAAACTTCTTTCTCTCTGCAACCACTTCTCCACTGACTTAAGCAGCTTTCAAATGTGTTTTGTTGTTGAAATGTCTAAATCAGTGGAATAGAGCAAGGGACTGATTTCCTATTTTCAGGTCCAAACAATATCCTGAAGTTCCTCTGCTGATGGGGAACTATTGGAAAAAGATGATTGTCTGCAAGTAGAGATGGAATTTGGAGAGGTCATGAGAGAAGGCATGCAGGCTTGTGCAGGGGGCTGGGACTGACAGGCAAATGGCTACGGCAGTAGGAAGTTAGGCTGTTCCAGGCTGCTTCATTTCCTAATTTGAGGGGGGACCCCACCATCTATTCACCATGTCTTTTGTTCCCTGTTAAACCAAAGCCACAGTGTAGGGGAAAGCCAGGTGTTTGTGCAAAGAGGTCTTCATTAGGAGCCCTGTATGGCACTGTTGCCTTTTGTACAGAAACAGTAGGCTCCAGGCCTCTCTCTACACTCCACTCCTGTTGGCTCCCTCCCCCCCACTTTCCCACATGGCCACCTACCATCTTTGCAGTCCTAAAGATGTATATGCTGCAGATGGTGATGAGCCCTATTGGAGGTTGAGAGAGCTAATGTAGGTGTATTGAATGACAGCTCCTTATTTCCTTGCTTTTTCTAGTTTCCTTGATGGTGCTGTGCTGAATCTTAACTGAGCTGTTATTCAACGCACCAAACTACAGATGTACAGTACTGATGCATTTCAGTATGTGTGCGCAATACATTAGTATACATGTCAGATTGCTGTAGGCACTCGGCATACAACTTCACACCTTACATAGATCAAATCAGCTATTCTATTTGTGAAGCTTCCAGGGGTGTGGTGTGAGGTCACAAGGCTGCAGACTGAACTGAGTATTTAGAAGATGGTGCAAGCTGCCCAACAACTGAATGAAAACATTTGGATTTAGGAAGGTACATCGATATCTGGAGCCTTGGTTGGTTTGGTTTCTTGTCTGGAGAGAGAGAAAGAGGTGAGGAAGCTCCTTGGCTGTTCTCTGGCTATGAATGCTGCCTGCAGTATGCAATTAAAAAAAAGACCCTGCCCTGCCTTGCTGCCATAGTCATTGTGGTGAGGTCATTTAATTTGTATTGTGGATTTTTTTTTTAATCTGCATTTTTCCCTCTGGTTGAGCAATTTGAAAACATGCACCCAGACCTTCATTAAATTTCTGGGAAGTGGCTTTTTCAAAATAAAGACATTGAGATATTCAACCTTTTGGAAGCACATGGGTAGATATGACTGCCTCTGTAAACTCTTTGAACAGTTAGGAACCCAAGAGTAGAAGAGTCCTTCTGAGCCAGCAGGTCAAGTGCCCTGCTTTCACAGGCCATCATTTACCCAAGAATCTCCCCAAATTGCCATTTCAAGTCCTTACACACAGCTGCAAGACATCATATGTGAAACAAAAACACCACCCAATACAATGCCATGAGTAAAAGCAGGGGAGATGGGAGGACTGCCAGTGCCCTGCCATTGCAATGACAGGGAAGTAGTTGGTTGACATGCTCCAAAGATCTAGGACAGTGGGTGCCAACCTTTTGGTGCAAGTGCTACCTCAGCCCCTTTCCCCTGCCTGATCTGTTACTTTGCTTTCTGCTCCCTACTCTGTGCTCCCTGCCTGATCTCCTGCTTTGCCTTCTGCTTTCTGCCCTGTCTGATGCTGTGCTACCTTTCCCCTCCCTGATCTGCTGCATGCCATGCACAGAGGCTGCCTGTGTCGTTGATGGCACCTGCGCCACAGGTTGGCCACCCTGTCTTACAAGAAGGACCATGCCCCACATTGCACAGGAAGGCAAAACAAGTCCATGCCTGTCTGAGCGAGAGGAAAAATTCTTTCCTGCCTCCAAATTTTGGTGATCATCAGTATAACCCTGAGCAAGAAGAGCAAGATCTCAGAAACATCCACTTTTTCCTAAGTACCAGCAAGAGCATCAGTATTACCCAGTCAAAATATCCCAGCCTTACCTGTGGCCAGCATCCCAGGGCTTAAGAGGAAAGTACACTATCCCCCTCTGCTGCCCCTGAAGTAACGTTAATGACTTGGAGTGGGGTGGAGTGAGCATGGGATTACCAGATTAGATAATATATAGATAAAGCATGGGATTACCAGATTAGATAATATATATTTTCTCTACTCTTGCCTACCCTTTATCCTGAGAAATAATCATAATGTGAATAGGGAAGCACGAATAATAAATCCTTTTTATCAGCAAAGTAAAGAATATTACTCTGATTCAGGAATAATTTTTTGCTCCTTCAACATATATGGATTTTTCTTATATGTGGCATTTTTCAACACAGATGCTATCAAGCATTCCAAGGTACATAGGTAAATAATGTTAAATTTTGGCAGGCGCGGTTACAAACAAATATATTATGATTTTCAGGGTCCATATGTTATTCAACTCCATTTAATCCTTTTAATCCCATATGATATGTCAATATTTATCCTTTAATTCTGTGTTTTTTTACAGAGTAATACAAACACCATTATCTTGAAGACTGGCTTTGATTTTCTAGACAACTGGTAAAGATACTACAAAATAGTTCACATCAAGTTTGGAGAAGGAAAGAGGCATTTTCTCTTTGTTTGTTAAGTTACTAGCATCTGCGTATTTAAAAAAAATAATTTTCAAACTCTAAATGTTGCCTTTGTATAAACTTTTTTGTAATACCAGATGCATTTTTGTACTTCAAATGTTTGTGATAGGTGTGATCTCTTTTTTTTTTTTTTTTTGAATTTTGTAACGTCTGTTACAAGTTGAGTAGTTATTGTATTGGGGGAAATTGTATACATTAAAGAGCAAACTTCTATGTTCAAAAGACTCAGCCTACCAAGAACCGGTTCCTGTTTTGTTAGGAATTGGGTTAGCATGGCTCATAAGCATTTGCATCTTTCATGACAAAAATGAATTAAATGCAGTGTTGCTTTAAATACACTACCAAAAGACTCCTTTGAGAAAGGCATGAAAAAATAAGCATATTATAAGAATTGTATTTTCTTTGTTTATTTCATATCTAGTTTGGCAGTATTGTATTCTACCACCTTTTTTGCAAGTTATTTTGAGAGGAGCCAAAGGTTTGACAAAAATGCTTGGTTCAAAGAATCACTGCAGTTGTGTTCTATAGATACGTTTGCTAGAAAGGAAGACTTCTTACAAAAGTGGCTTGGGAAGTGACTGTAAACATGAGTGAGGATGCTGACCTTTGTTTTGCCCAATTTTTTTTCCAAGGAATGAAAACCTAAAGAAGTCACTGCTTCCATATAGCCCTTGGTAGCAGAAATGTTGAAGTAAATCACCGGTGTCTCCAGGAGCAGGCATCACTTAAGTTTTTGCTATGGTAAACTACTACATTTGTAGCAGGCTATAGCACACTAAGGCTTTTTGTACTCTTTTTATAACAGCTATCCCTCTTGAGGACACATCAGTCTAATTTCTGGTGCTCTTTCCTTTTGTGGATACATCCTCCCTGGTGTCTACTCTCTGGGTAGTGTTTGCATCTGAGGTGCAAACAGAACCAAAAGGTAGCCTTTGGCATGTTTGCCTCCAGGTCTACTTTTGAATGATCTTCAGCTGCTGTTAAGGGTGGAGAACAGGATTTCAGCTGTCATTTGGACTGCTGTCTCCAAAATGCAGCATGACTTAGACACTGATTTTTCACTGTGTTTCTCACCTTGAAGCCTTAATTCCCCTTACACACAACCAGTGAAGGGTCCAATGCCAGAGGTTTAACCTTTCCTTTTTACCTCCATAATTGATTCCAAAATTATCTATCCGGGGTGGAAGGAAAAAGATACAGCTCATTTTAATGAATCCATGCCAAAGTTGTACTATGGCCAAATGATGGGCAGTCTATACCAGTTGGACTTAATTCCCTTAGGCCTCATATGGATTGGCATTCGACAGTTTGTTGCTACTAGTGACAGTTAAAACCTGCTGATTACATTTTTTGACCAAAATTTTCTTTTGTACAATAAAAGTCTTTGAGAAGATTTCAAAGTAGTCTGCAGGTATTGAAGAAACTCCATTCTGCAGAGTGGTGTGCTGCTTGCCTTGTTTGCTTTGAGGCAGGTGGTGTATATTTACTATCAAACAGCAGTGAATGCTTGCTTTCCTTAATCTATTTAAAGGCTCAGTTATAAAATTTAGCCTTTTTCAAAAACAAGTATTAACATCTAGCAACAGAAAAGAATAAAATATTGGATAGCTAGTCATAGAAAAGCAGATTTTACAGTGAGGTTTCATAGCACAATGATAACTTCTGAAACAGCATTAATAAAGCTGTGCTACAAAATACACTTCAACTGAATGCACTCAGTGATACATATCAAGTAAACTTCTATGTAAAGGATGGGTCTTATATTTGATCCCTGTAAATTCAGGAGAAAATTTTAGTTCTTTTGTATTTCATATTCCTGTTGGCCCAGATATACTTATAATATTTGCTGCTTAGTTTAATATTTTTAAATGGCCCTTATTAGTGTTACGTTATCATCTAGCATTAATATGGAAAATTAAACAAGGACTTGAGCATAAAGTCCAGATGTATGAAATACTGCTGACTTGCACTTTTTCCTCAAACTTGAGGAGTCCTTGAAATTTTTTTAAGCTGAATGACACTAATCATGGGTTTTACAGTTACTAATAAAAGCTTTGAATTGTTTTCAGTAAATTGAAATATTCAGCCATCAGTGTGTATTTTCAATCCATGCAAGAGGCATCAACTTTTTAATCTTGCTTCAATATTTGTAGCGCTTTGTGTAACACTTCTTAATGTCGGGAGGAGCATTCGTTTACACCTGTGCTAAATGGATTGTAGATTTGTAATTTGCTTCAATTTTGTGCTCTCTTTACTACCATTTTTAGAGTACTGCATCCTATACACATTTGGGACCAGCTGGTAGAACATGCTGCAGAACTTTTACTTATTCAGTAGATTTTTCCTTGCTGATCTTTGACACAAATTGATGCTTCTCCCTTTCTATGATATGCTTTTATTAAACGTTCATAACAGAAAAAAATGTACATGGTCACATTTTATATTAACAAACCTTTTAATAAAGTCACTTTACATAGAATGCTTGTGGTATTTCACTCTTCCTTGCTAGCTTTGTCTTTTCTTGCCTCTACTGGAGTGGGATCTCTTTATACTGAAGAAAGAGGACTTAGAATTAATCCTGAGCTTGTATACCTCACAGTTTAGGAATTTACCTTGCCCTATGTAATCATTATTATGTTCACCCAGTACCATAAAAATAACATACCTTTGCACTTTATTCTTTTTAAATGAAAGCTTAATATTGGGTTACTTCATTTTGGTAACAGCTTTGTTTTATATCCTTTTTCTCTTGGTGGGGAGGCAGAAAAGGATTATGAATTTAGTATAAACAGCCATCCAGATTAGTTCATAATCATACTAGCAAAATTATTAACAAGCAGCTTAGACTTTTGTCCTTCCGGAGTAAGCCATCCAAATTAAATTTAAGCCATGGATAAGGGCTTTCACACCTCCAGAGAGAATTTCTCAGTGAGAGAACTTCCAGAACAGAAAAATAGAAATCCAGAAGAATGTATTCCAGCTGGACCCTCAGGGTTGTCTTCATTAGAAGATGGTGGTTGTTTGTATTGAAGAAGTACCCAGGAGCCACTGTTATTCTAATCACAGTGCATGCAAAATAAGAAGATGGTCATCATCCTGAAGAGCATAACATTACTACATCATCTGAAGATGCTATATATGATTTTGCAGGCAGCATGGACAAAGGACTATTTTGTTTAACATGATGTGGTCTGGTCATGGGTATATTTATTGTCATACTGTTTACTCTTGTCAGTTAACTTAATGACATGTGACAGTGAGAGTCTACCCCAATTGCAGAGCAGTGTTTTGTAGTTAATGTAACTCCACAGTTATAGTCTAATGCAGTGGTTCCTAACTTCTTTTTGCCATGACCCACTGCTGGGAATGGAATCTGGCAGGGGCAGGGGAGCTCCCAGCACATGGCGCGGCTTGTCCTTTGTGTGCAGCGCCACCAGCATTGCCCCCACAACGTTCCTTTGGGCTGCAACCCGAAGTTGGAAACTGCTGGTCTAATGTAATGTTTCAATTGAAGGGAAGCCCACTGAGGGGCATGGGGGGCTATGTACAATGAAAGAAAAGACAACTCTGCCAAATTTCATAATTGATGAATAATCCCACATTAAAAATGCATCTCCTCTCTTTCCCAAAGCTGGGAATCGCTGTTTCCCCCTGAGGGAAGGCATAGCTGTGGAGTTTGGAGAACTAAATGCTCAATTATGTGCTGCAGAAGAGAGCCTATCGGGGGAAAAAATAAACAGTAGGAATTAGCTACATGTTTTTGTTAGTTAGAAGCAGATTAGAAGTGCACCGATAAAGATTTTTTTGGCCGATGCTGGATAATAATCAGAAATCAGTCACATCGGCCAATACTGATCCAATATCCAGCCTGGCACCTTGGAGAGCAACTCCTTGCTGGTAAGTCTGTGGAGGGGAGAGCATGTGGGGGTGCAGACTGAGGTCCCTATGGTGAGGAAGGGAGTGGGGCAGGTGCTGCCCAGCCAGGGCAGTGCATGCGACCCTGCCAGGAGTGGGGCAGGCAGCTCGTCCAGGGTGTGGAGTGGGAGTGACTCCCCGCTGCTGTGTGCACCCCCAGGGGAGGCATGTATGGCATTAACCCTTAATAGTGCTCACAGCACATTTTAACTTTAACATGTCTTAATATTCCACAGATTTAGTATGGGTAAGTGTAACATGCAACTTTACTGTGTAAAAAAAGTTACTTGGATGCTCCAGCCTTTGCTTGTGCCTTGGAGTTAGGTACTTAGATGTGAAACGCTCAGTCATGCCTGAAAACAATCCTGGGCAGAAACAGTAAAAAAATATCCACTGAAAGTACTGTTCCATGTAGACATTAGCAGTTTTTTTAATTATGTTTTTATTGATGGAAAATAGTTATGAGTAGGTGTAACACAATATAATGCAATATATAAGGAGGTGAGAACCCAAAGAAGCTGTGCAAATAAAGGAAACTGGTAAGTGCAATGAGGGAAGGGAACTTATTGCAACTAGGTTCTTTAAAGTCAACGTCATGTTCCCAATTACACAGGAACGTGACCCAACTGAAGTAACACGCAAAGCTTTTTTGCAGATGTTGCCAACTGACTGCGCAGTCAATGGCTATCTTCAGAGCACATGTACCCCAAGGTACAAACTTGAGGGACACCATTTTTAAGCATTCGTACAATGCAGAAGTTAGGGTCCCCCGGTAAAGCTTACAAAAACGATAGAAATCATAGATGAACCAAGCAATAAAGAAATGTCAAGAAGATTTTAGGAGTTGTATGACAATATTATAACCATCAGAGTGAAATGAGCTGACTGACTAATACATAAGATTAAACTCTCTTTAATTTTTGCAAATCTAGTTGGTTTAATAAAAGGTATTACCTCTACCACAAGCCCTGATTGCTTTTTCCTCGAGACCAATACAGCTACAACCTGGATACCCAACACATGGAAGATGTCGAATTTTAGCTGATTTTAAAAAAATTAAATCTTCATAATTTCACAAGGAAGCAACTTTGGCCACCTGAAACCTGAGATACTGCTCCTGCCTTTTGTTCAAGGCAATTTGCATCATCACAGAGCCTCACAAGAGAGCTTAGAGACACCTTACCAGCTAAGACCTGCCTGCCCAGAGGAGTTTTCCATCTATTGTCTCCTCTGTGAAATCCAGTGAAATATGAACTTTTCATTTCTACCTAGGAGAACTTTTACAGACTTTTCTCTGATGCCTGATGAAGGGTGTTTGTGCCCAGAAGCTTGCAATTAAATACATTTTTTTTGCAAAAATCTAGTTGGTCTAATAAAAGATATCACCTCTAACATGAGCCCTGATTGCTGAAAGTATCTGTGCATCTCAATCACTGGTTCCCCTCTTCCTCCCCTCTCCTCTTTGATGACACCCTGTGAGGGAGTGAAATGACTTGCTCAGTGCAATACAGAAGTATCTGGCTGAGCTGGGGCCTGAATCTCAGTCCCTCAGTTCCCCAGGCCACTGCCTTATCCACAAAGGCCATCCTGCCTATGCTACTGATAGTTTCAGCTGGCTTCCTAGCAGATGGGTGTCCACACACATTAATACCCATTATCCTAACTATCTCTAATAGGCTCTTTGGTTGGCAGTCTCAGCAGAAGGTTTAGGCACTGAAACTAAGCAGCTTAGGATGACTCCTAGTGGCTAGGCACAAATGGGGAAGGGCACTGTAGGGCAGATGGTCCTGCTCCCAACTGTATCTATTTGGCATATGGAGGACTTCATCCTTAGGAGTGTCAGCCCAACTTCTGCACCAGCAATACTTTTAGTACTGAAAAAAGCAGCATGAAAAGCCCCTAGGCTGGCCATAACTGAAGATATAAAGGGAAATATCTTGTCATCAGCACACATTATGCCTCCGACACTGAAAAAATACTTTGATATAGTGGCTTTATGGCACTAGGGTGCCATGAGTGGCTTGGTATCACAGTGACAAACACTAACTGTGCCTAAGCCCAGGACTTCAGTGGTTAGGGCTTGTACTATTTCTTTCTCTTGGGTGGGATTCTGCAGTTCTCCCACTCTTAGACTGAGCCCAGGACTGCAGTACCCTATGCTATCATGGCACGGCATGCTTTGGCATCTGCAGTTCTTTCTTTCAAGAGCCTGTGACCAGTAAATGGCATAACTAGGGGGGCCATAAGGGCACCTGCCCCAAGGGCTGACCTGAGGGAAGGGAGGGAGGGGAGCAGTTGCTGCTGACAGCTGTGCATTCACCATCACCTTACCCCAAGGCACCTGGGTACATTCCTACACTGCTGGTCTCCAGTGCTCAGACAGCTTTCTTCAAACAAAAGCACTGCTTATATCAGCAGTGGAGCAAAGCAAAGTATTTAGGATTCTATAAAGCAGTCTACAGGCTTTAAAGTCTTTACCATCTCCCTCTCTCCTGGGGTGCCTATACATGTGCATTGGAGGCTGCTCTGATGTGCTGTAACAGTGATTACCGAATTCCAGCAGACTCCGGCATCATGTGTATCAGCGTCCTGCACTTCAAAATGGCGGTGGAGGCACTTTAACTAAAACTTGTTCTGCAAGCTTGGGCAGAAACAATAGGTGACGGACAGAGGGGACAAGGCTGAACTCCTCAACGAGTTCTTTGCCTCAGTGTTCCTAAGTGAGGGGCACGACAAGTCTCTCACTGGGGTTGTAGAGAGGCAGCAGCAAGGCGCCAGACTACCATGATAGACCCTGAGATGGTGCAGAGTCATTTGGAAGAACTGGATGCCTTTAAGTCGGCAGGCCCGGATGAGCTCCATCCGAGGGTGCTGAAGGCACTGGCTGACATCATTGCAGAGCCACTGACGGGAATATTTGAAAGCTCATGGCGCACGGGCCAAGTCCCGGAGGACTGGAAAAGGGCCAACGTGGTCCCCATTTTCAAAAAGGGGAGGAAGGAGGACCCGGGCAACTACAGACCAGTCAGTCTCACCTCCACCCTTGGCAAAGTCTTTGAAAAAATTATCAAGGCTCACATTTGCGAGAGCCCGGCAGGACAAATTATGCTGAGGGGAAACCAGCACGGGTTCGT